CCAACGAATAGTGGGATTGACCGTCACATTATAACGCCCCCACGGCTGAAAGGGCGAGCATGTTTGGTGTGACGGGGATTGTGACCCGCAGATTGCGAGTCGAGTGCCCTAACCACCTGGCTATGTCGGGCGCCAATGGTGGACATGTGAGACATTAATTTATATAATTAGTAGAAGTCAATGGATATAAAAAAGCAACAGTGATTTAAAGCGTTCATTTGTTGTCACTATATTGTTTAAGCAGTAAGGAATCTAGGAAAGTGTAAAAGATGGTGCTACTTTTGCAGTTCTACTCCTAGTACATTAATTGTTTTTATTCGACCAAAGTCGACTGGGCTACTATATTAAGAGTAAAAAGACAGAAAACCCGACATTTTCAGCACAATGAAAGGTAATTTTTTATTATTAGTTACCGCCGACTAGTTTTGACAACACAGTTACCTTCATCAGGGTAAGTGTCTAAGATGGTAATGATGATGATGATAACTGTGTTACTCAAACTAGTCAATTGTAACTAATAATGGATTTTTACATTTTATTGTGCCACAAAAACGCCAGTTTTGTATTTTTGACTCATAAAAGTATTATTTATTTAGATACATTAATTGTAATATATGTTTTATACTGATATGATTGCAATTTAGGGTATGTTATTACACCTTCCATCACCGTATGTATGCAGGGTCATGGAGAAAACTGATAAAAAACAAGTTGAGAAAAAAGACATTGTGAGCATAAACATTTCACTACCTAGTAAGGAAATTTGAGAAAACGGAATCCATTGTTACTGTTAAAAGTCAATTGCACCAGAGGCTGCTGCTAAAGTCATTTCACGAAATTATTTGCATGAACATGCAGTGCCTGTGACATTCTTCATCAGGTGGCCACTCTATAATTAATTGTGCAAACTTGCCTTAAGATAAGTTTTTTTTGCACCCATAAATAATTAAGGTGTGCAGGGAAAGAAACCAGCCGATCCTCAGAGAGATTTCAGTTTCACACTGATTTTCGTAGTGCGTATGAAAGTGAATGTGCATTAGCCGTTAGCATGTTCCACATGCCCTCATGTGAGGTTGTACAGAAATAGTTTTATTACACTATGCCCGTTTTTACATTGTTTCCTCACTTATTTGGTGTACCCATTCTTACACTTTAATTTTAGGTATTTTTTCACTGTTCATGCACTTCTTTTATACAAGATGACATTATCTTATGCATCATTCATTCGTTTTTGTTGATATCTTCTATGTATGTCATCAGTGTTTGTGTGAACCAAAATATTATGGTATATACAAATAATGGTGTGTGTGTGTGAACCAAAATATTATGGTATGTACAAATAATGGTGTGTGTGTGTGAACCAAAATATTATGGTATGTACAAATAATGGTGTGTGTGTGTGTGTGAACCAAAATATTATGGTATGTACAAATAATGGTGTGTGTGTGTGTGTGTGTGAACCATAATATTATGGTATGTACAAATAATGGTGTGGTGTTTGAACCACAATATTATGGTATGTACAGATAATGGTGTGTATGTGTGTGTGTGAACCATAATATTATGGTATGTACAAATAATGGTGTGTGTGTGTGTGGTGTGCATTCTTTTCACTTATGTACATGTGATGGCACAATATAGTATGCAATGTCATTTGAGTGATGTAGTATTAGTTGTAGTTGTGTGTATATACTAAGGGTTGATAAATTAGTTAATTAATTCACTTCACGCTAGCACTATCACGTGGTCCCTGTGCAATTATTATATTTGGTGCACTTATAACTATGGTAAATCTCTTTATTTCACAGCTAGAAGCGTTCGACAATGTGAGTCAGTCAGTGAGATGGAGAAAGTTTTGGTTTTGTGAATTTTTTGTATCTGTTCTATGACTTGTAATTTTGTATGTGGTTTGTTTATCACCTAAGGGTGTCTCTCAAATACGTGTGAAGATATATTATTTGGTTGTTAAAATTGTATATGAATAAATTGTTTGTATTGCATGTATTGTGTGTCTGCCCCATTCCTGCTATTAGTACTGCCATATCTATGATAAGCAAACTCTCCTTGTATTTGGACCTTATATATGGTAGCAACAGCTAATCAATAATATATAATATCTGACTTTACTTTTCATGTCAGTTACTATATGCCTTGCAAATTTTGTTAATTTCTGTTTTTCTTTGTTGCTAAATACTTTAGTCCTCTGGATAAAAAAGACCGATTTCTTGAGTAGGTTCTCTTAGTGTTTCATCATTGATAAATTTGACAATGTTACAGTGACAGAACATTTGACATATTTTCTCTTTCATCTGAAAAGTGAAATCTGTATTGCAAACGTTGGTAAAGGCAGTATGTTTGAATGCAGAAATATACGGAAGTATTTATGGATGTCTGCCGATCAGGCATACGCATTTCTGTCAGGTAAACAGGGTTAATCAGCCGTTAACTTAGTTAAGAATCAGATGTATACATTATGGGTAGCAAACAGAAATATGTCAGGATTTAAGAAGACCTAGCAATTAGGTTGATATAGAACAAAATCCTATAAATAAAACAAATGATTATAACTGAATACAAAATACAACAAATGAATAAATACAGTAACAAAAGTGAAACTAAAGGAAAATAAAGGTAATTTAGAAAATAATATAAGTATTCACGATATAAAAATTATTTTACTGCATTGGCTCGGTGGTCAGCTTGGTGACTCATAACACTAGAATGTGGAGCTTGATTCCAATCGCAGACACAGCCCGGATAGCCCATAAAACATAAAATACGTAAACAAATACAAATGCTCAAATAGTTGTACTTCGAAAAAGAATTATAAAACATGTTAGTATGAAATACTTTGATAATTATGTTGAAAGGAGTACTGGCGAGATCAGTGACCACACTAAAATACATAGACCAACTTCAAGTTTATACACATTTCAGATCAATGAGGTTAATAGAAACAAAATGGAGGACGTTTATATTTTGTTCAGAGTGCTATTGTGTATAAAACAAGATATTACAAAACGTCATTTAAGCATGTTTGACTACTCTAAAAAATACTATAAAAAATAACTGCAATCGAAAAGATGACTAGGAGGTTTTCAGTCAGTAATGATAAAAAAATACTTTCTTAACAAATTGGAAAGTTCTCTAAAAAATATGAAAAATTCTTGCTTCAGCATAACCACTCCATAATAAAGACAGTTTTAACTTTTTTGTCAAATAGTATTTATAGGTTATTTTGCACATTAGGAAAGAACAAGTTATTTCGAAATCATAACTGTGGTAGTCAAATACAAAAAAAAAATTTAACGCAACATTTTCATTTTATGGAATACGTTTCTATTCCCAATGTTCGTATCATGCACGACATCAGTAGTGAAACTCGAGGAATGCTTTAGAAAACTGTAGAAAAAGATTGTAAGACGTATAAAATATCCAAAGAAACGTAGGACAAATTTGAAACATACGTATATAACAAAAATTTGTTTATTTGCTACATTTTGAGCGTACCAGCAAATCCTGACTAAGGGCTTATACCTCAAATGTAACAAATAAAACTAGTTTTTGTTATAGACGAGTGTTTAAACTTTTTACAGTATTTTTTGAATAGCAAGTTACATTGTTTAATCTTAATTTCGTTTTTGGAGATCTTACTGTAAAAACTTGTGTATTTCTTACTAGGAAAAATTATTTTTCATAGATTTATCTACTCTTCCTTCTTGTTGGATCATTTTAATTTAGGTGTGGTTCCAGAATAGAAGGGCCAAGTGGAGGAAATATGAAAGGTCTGGAGGTCAAACTTTGCTTGGAAGTACAGGCCAGTTTCAAGCAAGAAGTGAAGGAATTGTGATTGAATCTCGGTCTGATCATAATGTGCTAATCTTCAACCCTGGATGCACTGCAGCTACCGAATCACAGTCCGAATTCAAAGAAGACACAAATGGTAAGAATCTAGTTTTAAGACAGGGATTAGATAAACAGGAAACATTTGATCATTCAAGTTTTTTAATCTACTGCAATCACAGTGTTTAACACATCGAGAAATATTATAATGATAGCTCAGTACAAGAAGAGTAAAATCATCTGTGCTAAATTCCCAGACTCATCCCGGTTGGGGACCTGACATATACTGGTGATAAGAGCGCTTGACTCGCAATTTGCGGGTTGAGGGTTCGAATCCCTTCACCGCGCGTGCTTGTTCATCCAACCGTAAGGAGTTATAATGTGATGATCAATCCCACTTTTCGTTGATACAAGAGTAGCTAAGGAGTTGACGGTGGTTGTTTTTGACTAACTGCATTTCATCTAGTCTATCACTTCTAAATTAGGGACAGCTAGCTCAGATAGCCCATGAGTAGCTTTGCGCAAAACTCAAAAAAACAAACAAATAGAAGGCAGTCCCTTTACATATAATTATGAAATATATAATAATAGAAAATACATAACAAAGCTTTCTTTAAAAAATTTAAATAAAACTTTTGAGCAAATTAAATGTTTAATTTTGTTTTACTTGCTTTCGTAATTGTTTCATCATGATAATCGCTGTTGGTGTTACTAGATATTTGGAAAAATTAATCATACATGTTCTTTTTTCACTTTTATTCATAGTTTATAGCTTCTTTTCATGAGACATATTTTATGGTATCGCTATATTTGTTGTGGAACAATCTGTTTGTTAAATACACCAGCTTTAAGCATAGTGGTGGAGAGCATTGAAGTTTATAAAGATTATAAATGTTATGTAATTAATTCGAAAACGAATGCTCATAACAGCAAAGGATATTACAAATGATCGAGGGTAGGTTGAGGGCTTGTTGAGTGGCAGGTACCAGAAGACGACACGTGTGTCGACCTCAGGCAATATGGGAGGGGATTGAGACGATGATGTCATTGTTTTACAAAGAACCAGAGGATGCGTTACTAGGGGCACGTTATTAGGCCATCATACCAGAGAGCGTATTGTTAGGGCCACAAAGTGGCACCAGAGGACGTCTTGGTATAATGAGCACATAGTTAGCTTGTGAGCAAACCACCAGAGGGTGACAATGTGTCATCAACTTTATAGCAACAATGAAAGTGTGAAAATTAATAACATCGTGTTTACAGTTTTCCCTTATAACTAAAACATTAAATACGTTTTACTAAGGCAGATGGTGTTACTAGACTGATTTTGTTACTAAAGATAGTGTTTGTATAGGCGGATAGTGTTACTAGGCTGATTGTGCTACTCAGGTTTTATAGGTGGATGGTCTTCTGTGCGTATTGTGTGAGTCTTACATAGGCAGATGTTGTTTCTATAAGGGGCAGTGTTACTAAACTTCCATTAAACTGCATACAGATTTCAAGTTGTTCAACTTATGTTTATATTTTTCATTTATATATTTAACTGTATTGCATGTGTTTCTATAGGAGAATAGTGTTACTAAGGTTCTATAAATGGATGGTGCTACTAAAGTCAATGTTAGTATAATTTGTAGGATCATCAATTAATCAATATTATTTTACTTTATCTGCCTAGCATATTTTTCACAATTATCCACCGCTTTATGTATAAAACACTTCACTAATTCATTACTCCTAAAACTTTTCCTTCCATATTTAACTTTCATGGTCATATTTTTTGCTGTTTCTAGAGCTGGATAGTGTTACTATCATATTGAACTTACTGATATAAGTAAAACACTCTGCTATCTTAATTTTATTAACCTTGTAGTTTTCTCTTACATACGTTTTACAAAGGCTGACAGTGTTTCTATAGGAGAATAGTGTTACTAAGATTCTATAAGCTGATGGTGCTACTAAGATTCTATTGGTGAATGGTTTTACTAGGCCTATTGTGTGTGTGTGTTTTACAAGGGCAAACAATGTTGCTATACTTCCATTATATTGCATAAAGATTTCAACTTGTCTCAAGATATTTTTATAGTTTTCATTATTATGTGTGTTTTACAAAGGCAATAGTGTTATTAAGTGTATTGTGTTTCAAAGGTTGTACAGGCAGATGGTTTTATTAGACATATTGTGTGTGTTTTACAAAGATGGATGGTGTTTCTATAGGTGGATATTCCCATAGGATTGCATACAGATCTCAACTTGTCTCATCTTATGTTTATATCTTTCATTTATATACTTATCTGTATTACATGGTTTTCTATAAGCGGATATGTCACTAACATGTTTAACTTACTGCTGAAAAGTTTTTAACATACCTAATATTTTGTTTTCATAAATATTGAATGAGACAGCCGATTGTGTGTTTACGATTTAGTACACATTTTATATATATAGTAGTTAGTATAGTTTTCGCTTCCGTAATTGATTTGTATAACATAATTTTTACAATTATCATCCTGAAAAGGAAGTTTATTTAATTATCTAAATATGATGCAATAATTTAGCATACAGAATTACAGTTTCATTTGTGTGGCCTGATGGATGAAATATACCATTTCTCTACCCATATAATTATGATTTTATTGTGTATAACAGTTTTGGGCAAAATATTTCATTTCACACATACTACTTTATAGTTTTCACATGAATATGTTTTACAACTACTGTCAGTGCTTCTATGGGCATACTATGATATTATTACAAGGTTTTATTATGGATAGTGTTTCTTTAGGGGAATAGTGTTACTAAGGTCAGTGTTTCTATAATTCAGTAAGATGTCAACATATCTGCCATTTTGCTTTGACAAGTAAAACCCTTATTTCAACGAGACAACTATTATCCATTATTTGAATGAAACATTTTATTATAGCCAATAATGTATCTTACATACTTTTACAATGATGAGCCTGAAAGAGATGATTGTTTATAACTGATGTTTAGCTTTATAAGTTAATTTTTTCAGTTGAAGCTTAAAGGATCTATATAAATAACTATGTTTATTCATTACCAGAAAACTATATTATTACCATTCTGTAGATATTTTCAGAAATCTTTGTCTACAGTTCGTTTTTTGCTGATTAAAACTATTTCCATATAGGCTAAAAGCTCGATAAACTCTGTTTATCAAAAATGATTATATGCCACTCTATGCAAGTAATATTCTAACCACTTTTTCTGGTATATGTTTTCCATTTAAATACTTAATGATGAGTGTCACACACACATACAAATGATGTGGGCTATTTTAACATATTACTGACACATCCAAGCTGATGGCAAGTTGAGATACTTGACCCCTTGTACGAAACCAAGTGTTACGTTTGCCTAAGGCTAAAACAAGTAATGCTTTTATTTCTACAAAACTGACAGACAAACCAGAAATTATATTTCCATATCTTTCAAAACTACACTTTATGTACCCCATAACATTTAAACTTATTAATTTACCAAAGCATTAAATACATTTTTTACAAATAAACATAGTATATAACTGAAAAAAAAGAGTTGACAATCATAATCATAAAAAGACCTTTAGTTATAAATCAAGTGATCATTCTTCGAGTATTTCGAAACAGATATTATTTCATTTCGATTTTGAAACTCTTATGGTAACGTGAATTATCTTTTCACTTAAAAAATTATACAAATCATCAGTTACAAATAAATGTTCTGTGTGAAACTCTAAATGAGACTGTTGTCACACACACACATTGAAACATTTATTCACAAAACTAAGTAAAATCGCATCACAAATAGTAGATTATAAATTTAATGTTCACCATACTTTACTTTAACTAGTGATTGTCAGCTTTTGTGCGTCACTGAATTTAAAAGTCGGTTATTATAGTTTACTGGTTCTTTCACTTTACATTATGATACAAAACATTAAATATGGAATCACAATACTCTATTTCTCAATATTTGAAAGGACATGTACATTTCAGTTGCTGTGCAATTCTTGTATACCTTATATTCAATTAAACTCAATGAACTGATTATTTATGTTTCTAACAAATGTGTATAACCATCTAATACAAGACTCCATATGGATATGTTGTCATAAATGTATGTAAGTAGAATCACAAACTCTAAATAAGACTGATGTCACACATACTGAAACATTTATTCATAAAACTAAGTGAAATCTGAGACTTAACAAGCATCATAGATTTTGAAACAATGTTTCAGTAACATATGATATATTATCTTTTACAAATAACACCAAATTTTATTATTCATTTTGTCAGTTACAATCAGTATTCAATCTCAAATGTAACATATTTTGAACAAGTACACTCAAATCCTGACTAAAAATCAAAGGTTAAATGGTTATGTGTCTAGTTTAACCTTTTATGATAAACTTGAGAGAACATTTGAGTAAATTACTAAAACATAGATCAGACACAGGATTTTACTTATCTAAACGTATGTGAAAATTCATATACATCAAAAACATTAAGAAAGTTGATCTTGCTAAAAAATATATATAAATCTTAAAAGATCAGACAAACAATAAATTAATGTGTATGTTTGTTGTAAATATTAGAAGTGAGAAACTTTTTCATCAGTAACGGTGACATGTATGGTCATAGCTTTCTCTTTTTCTCAAGAGGTGATGGTCCTTTAAATTACAATTGTTTAAACAAAATAATTTTCTTCAGAAAAAGAATACCCACCGTTTTCACTATGTTCAGGATGAATTCTCATTCGAAACACATTATGTCTAATCTGTATAGTAATAATTGGGAAATATCTAAATGTTCAATCAAATGACTGCATAAATAAAACACATCTCTATAAACGAAACAAATAGGACACTCACCACAATGATTTGTACAGAGATGATGATCACATGATTGTACATTTTGAAAATATTCACCACAAAGTTTACATTCATAACCCATGACTGTAAGTATGTTGTACATTAATTTTACACACACACATATATGTATATATGTATAATCTTGAACAAAGGAACTCTCCAAGATGTTGTACCGAAGGGAAAGACTTTGAGAGCAATCTTTGTTCACTACTTGAGAAATAACCTTT